GGTCATGGAACAGGTGCTTCCTCACAGCCCTCAGAAGGAGCCAATTCTGCTGACACCGCAGTTTAGGACTTCCAGCCTCCAGAGCTGTGAGACAATAACTTTCCATTCTTTAAGCCACTTAGTTTGCAATACTTTGTTAATGGCAACTCGAGCAGATTAATACAAATCATCTGATAGCTAAAGCACTTATGATTTCCAAGAGTCAAGATTTTAAGGAAAAATTGCTTGCTTGTTTAGGATTTTTTTTTTCCCTAGAATCTACCGTTGTATGTCAAGATTCAAAGTCCTGTAACACTGAGATCAGTTATTCTCAAAATTTAATGTACATCAAAATGGCAGGAAGGGTTTGCTAAAACACACGTTGAGTTTCTGAATCAATAGGCCTGAGATGGGGCCTATGGATCTGCCTTCCTAATAAGCTATTAGGTGATACTAATGATGCTAGTTCGAGGACAGAGATGAATGTTGGCTGACAAAAGAGCCCTTTTAATAACCACATGGTGATGAGAGCTGGAGCAGTTGGCAGAGGGAGGAATCAGTGAGTAAACACAGAAGCCATGCCCCCTGGGGGCAGAGAGCTGGTCCTGGAATCTGTAGAACAGGGCAGCTGACTCAGTAGTTTTCCAAAAGAGGGTAACTGTAAGTCATGAGGAATTTCACAGATTTAGTGGTTCAGATATTTTCCTACACATGGCCATGTTTTCCAAATCATCCTCACAATTCTGGGAGAGCTGGATTACTAGAGGTGGGGTTAGAAGGGACTTTCAGGCAGAGTGAAAGAGCAAACAGCATGTGCAAAGCCCTGATGAAAATATAACACATGTTCAAGTTGAAAGAATGCCGGAGGGGCTGGAATGTGGACGGTGTGGCAGCCCACCTCTGTAAGGCTGGAGGTGGGAGAGCACTTCTCAGAGATGAGACTGTAAATTACAGACTGGGTGGCCACACTAGGAGGTTAAAGCAGTTAACTCAGTTTGGCTGCTTCAGAGGTTAAAGAAACCCCTACCTATCCACCAGATCGTCCACATTTGTACTAAGCATAAAGGTGAAGACATGATAAGGATTCTTCATGAATTTCCTGCGATCCCCTGAGTCCAACCTTTACGGGCCAGTTGGTAGCCAGGTAAACAGAGCAGCATTCCATTTTTAATAGAGAGCATCTTAGGTCAGATTCTCCAGAAGCAGACCCTGAGACAAGATTCATGTGGATGTGACTTAGTAAGGAACTATCCTAGGAAAAACTGTCAAGAAGTAGAGGAAGCACAGGAAAGGAGAAGTCAGAACAGGGTGCTTTCCTGACCCTGTTGCTGGAGGAGAACTCTGGAGGATAAATAACACTGTAGGTTATCTTGGTCTGAATAGGGTCAGGAGAATTCCCAAGAGCTGTTTTCCAAGAGATGAGCTTCCTGATAGCCATTGGAAGCCAAAACATACAAAAACCAGGAGAAGAATGTAGAGAAATGGTAAAGAGTAGCTGTCTTAGTCTGCTTGGGCAGATGTAACCAAATAGACTGGGTGACTAAAACAACACAAATTCATTTTCTCATGGTTCTGGATGCTGAGAAGTTTAAGATTAAGGAGTCATCCAATTCAGTTTCTGGTGAAGTCTTTCTCCTTGGGTTGCAGACAAGGGATTTTCACTATGTCTTCAGTATCTATGCATGTAGGGAGAGAGAAAGAAGTATCTCTTTCTTCTTCTTAGAAGGACTCTAATTCCATCCTGTGGGCTCCACACTTGTAACCTAACACCATTACTTCCCCAAAAGCCTACGTCCAAATACCACTACACTGGATGTTAGGACTTCAGCATATGAATTTGGGGAAGACACAAACATTTAGTTCATAACAGAAGCCATGTGGATATGGTTGAAATGTAGTTAATAGCATCTGGTAGTACACCTTTCCTTGTCTGCTTCTAGTCTCTCCTGATGCTGGCCTCAATCAGGATCACTTCAACCCATCAATTGTGTTCTAAATGTTCGGAAACCCCTCCACTGATTTAGGGAACTCATTTCTGCAAAATTTCCCGCTTGCCCAACTCTTATGGTTGTGTGCTGGGGGGAGCACCAGAGGCTGACTCAGCCTGAGCTTGAGCCCTAATTGAGTCAAAAAGACATGCTACCTTTGGAAGATTAGATTTGGATTTGTTCTGCATTTATTTAAGGGAAAGGTCACAGGGATCACTATCTCAGAACAATGGAAGCCTATTGTTAAGGAAGCATCTGAGTGTGCAGCTCCAGAAACAGACAACAGACAGCAACGTCCAGATGGCGATTCTCCAGCTTAACAAAACAAAGCCCCTTTCCTGGAAGTGCCACCGTGCACCAAAGGTAACATCAAGCAGCCTTACCTCAAAAGAGAAGGAAGAATATTCTCTGGAAAAGTATTTCATTTTTTTCCCTTGCACTGTAGTTCAGTTCCTCCCTGAAGCCTATTCCAAGCCGAGGATGGAAAAGAATCACCCAAGAGATCAATGTGAACATCATCCCTGGCATCTTCCCTTCTCACTGAGCTTGCTGACTTTGCAGTCTTCAATTTTACGTTGTTTCTGGTATATGTGTGTGTATATGCACACACACATATACTAGGTTTTTTTTTTTTTGCTTTAAAACCCTCTGTTGGTCTTCATGTTGACTGTAAGCATTTAAATAAAGAGTTGTACAACAAATACATTACATTTTGTACTCTGGCATCACACGGACCTGGATTTGAGTCAGTTTCACCACTCTTGTGTATAATACTAAGTGTTGCTGAGACCTAAACATCTCATCTGTAAAGTAGAGCTAATTATATCTTATCTCAATTAGTTGTCACAAGGAATATATCAGATTACATTTGTAACGCTTCCAATTCAGTGCCTGGCACACAGTCATGAGTAAGATAATCATTTACTATTGTCAAATAACAATATTTTTAAGAAGAATTTCAGGTAATATAGTAAATAAAGAAGGCTGAGAATATCGATGCATGTGCTTAAAGCAAAAAATAATCCATATTCTATTAACTCAACTACCCTCTAAACATATTTTTAATTGGGAGGAGTCAGTTTGACAATGAAATTTGTAGAATGAACAAACCTGAGTGCTGGAAAGAACCTTAGAATTAAGCATTCTTCACTTTTAGATGATCAAACTAAGTCACCAAAATTGCTCTGTCTTGCTCAAGGTCAAATAGCCCCCAGGCAGAGGTAGCAGTGAAACGCGGTGCTATCACTCTACCACAATCTATTAGACCCCAATTCTTATTTGCTGAAGGAGTGGATCAGTTTCTTTTTAGAATTCATGGATGTACAAATTTATAAAGCTGACTCAGGACAAGCAATCCCATGTAACATGTTGCCCAAACAACTGAGCCTTGGTTTGACACACATCATTTCTATCCATCAGAAATGTTTACGTCGATGCCTGAACACATTCCAGAGTCTTGGAAGTGGGAGAGAAGGGTTTAAAAAGCAAACAACCCTTAGTCATGTTATTAAAGGACACTTGCTTTGGAATGGAACTCTGGCGTGTTTAATTATCAACATGTGCCTTTCCATCCCCGGCCTATTAAATCATCTGGCCTGCTAATAATAGCCTGTTTAGCCATCAGGAGAAGATGGATGAGGTTTAGTTCCCATTTTCAAATCCGAGGGATCTGCCCTGTTTCTGAATTATCTGCAGATGAAGATTAGTCACTGAGGCATCTGTAGGTTGTGCAGAGGACATCCGAGTCTTGGCCGGCACATTTATCCTCACCAGTGTGCCCCTCCCTCTCCTCCAGGGCTTGCACTGGTGAAGAGAGACTGAAAGAGCCAAGGTTAAATGTAGGCAAGGAAACCTTACCAATTTAAAGTTCTTTTTAGCACTTGCAAACTGGATTTCATTGCTTCCTGTTTTTAAACCATCTGTGAATAGATCACCTATTGAGCTTGGCAAAGGAAATCGTACACATAGCATGACTGCTTTCGCAAAGACAGCTGTTTTTTTTTTTTCCTCTTTGTTCTTTTTAATCCATATCTAGTGTTCCTGTTACCTGTTGCTGTGTAACAAACTACCCCAGAATGTAGTGGCTTAAAACAAAAGTTCATTTGGATCATGCTTTTGTGGTTGGGGAATTTAGGAAGAGCTCCCTTCACCAGGTGTCCCACCTCCGCTCCATGGGGTGTTACCTGGAGCAGCCTGACCAGTGTGAGGGGATCCACTTCCAAGATGGTTCACTCACAGGGCTAGCAAGTCGGTGCTGGTGTTGGCTGGGAGTTTGGCTTAGTCTTTTGTCAGGGTAACTTGGTTGTGATCCATGAGGGCTCATCTGCAGTCCAATCGGACTTCCTTACAGCAGGAGCAGCTGAGTTCCCGAATAAGTGTCCTTTCAGCCCCATGAAAGCGGCAGAACACCTTTTGACTTAGTCTCAGAAGTCCCGGAGGCCATTTTGGCTGCATCCATTGGTTAGGCAAGTCACTTAAGGCAAAGTTCAGATTCCAAGGGTTGCAATATAAACTCCCTCTCTTAAGGACAGAACAGCAAAGGTTTTGCAGACATCTTTTTCTTTTTTTTAACTGATTACAATGTTGTGTCAGTTTCTCGTGTACAGCATAATGTTTCAGTCATACATATACACACATACATTCTTTTTCCTTATAGGTTACTGCAAGATATTGAATATAGTTCCCTGTGCGGTAGACATCTTTTAATATATTACATCAAGGAAAATCAGACTCTTAACTGTTAGATTTTAGCTAACTCCTCTCCACACACAAATGAGCTGATGTTCGCAGAAGCTTAAAAGTATTTTTAGCTTATGCATTAGGTCTCCCTCCAGTCATGATATTTAATATTTAATAAATTAGTCGATTTGCTTATTTAATATTTAATTTAATACGTATTTTGTGATGTTTTCAAACTGATTTCAGTATCAATCAATCAAATTTCATTAGTTTTTTGGGTAATTATTCCTTTCCTTTCCCAGTCCATTCCCATTGATTATAATACTCCAAATGCCAGTCTGGATTCTAAATAACAGTCAGTAACAAATAGTGGAAGCTTCAACACAACATTCTCTACGAAAGTAAGGCAGACAAGGGAAAAAATAATTAAAAAACATTTTCCAAGCTAAAGAAGAATCTTAACAATGGCAGAGCTTTTGAGATATTTAGGAGGCTTTCATGCCACCCTTTCTCTTTTATGTCCCCAAGGAGTAAGGGTACAAAAAAATCAGTTTTGCAGATCTTATCAGTAGATCCCAAAGTAGAAATTAACTAGTAGTAAAAAAATCTCATATATTGAGCCCCTTTTCATTTGCATATATTTGCATATGAATTCCCAACTAATTGTTGTGAAGTAACAATTAAGAGAACAATAGAAGAAAGAAAAGGGGCCCCAGGCTGCAACAGACACCTGGGAGACTGTATTTAAAAAGCTTTTTAAATATTTGAATTTTTTTCAATAAAGACAAAGGCACTGAATCATGCACACACAATGCTACCAAAAGAATCAAAGTGGGAAAAAGTTCGTGACCTACTGATTCCACTTTTTGATGGAGAGGACTCTAAGTCTTCCCACTCCAATCTTGAATATCAAGGCACTGTAATATGTTTAGAACCAAAGGCACAGTCTAGAGACAGTGCTGAAGCCAGTTCTGAGCTCCCCCTGCCCAGCCTGTAAGTTTGCACAAGCCCATCTTCAAACTGCTCTTTTAAAATAGTTGCTGAATGTTCCTTTAGCAGAGAGCTTGTTTCCTTGGGACAAGGTGGCGTTCCTTTTCCCCCTTTGTCATCCTGAGCAATTCAGCCCTGACCCCAAGCTGGCTTACTTCTCTTAGCAAAACCTGTGACTTGCACTGAACCCTTTCCACTTTTCTTAAAAAGAAACTTAGCAAACATCTGTGCTGTCTTGAGCACCGTCTTTGAGCGATCTTCCCCGTAATAAATTTTTTTTTAATTGGCCTGCCTAGCACCTATTCCCTCTTCTGACAATACAAATCTAATTTTTCTTCATACAATTTTATCTCTTATTTTCAGTCTTTGTGGCTTCTCAGGGGCCTCTCACCCTCAGCTTTAAAAATAGAGCCAAAACAAAGAGATGGACCAGAGTAAGATAAACATAAAGGGGAAAGACAGAAGGGAAGAGAGAGACAGAAGACGCTGATGACATTAAGGCCTTGAGTCCAACTCTGCCCCAAACTATATTTTCAAGCCAACTAATAGTCCTCCTCCCACACAGACGCACACACACCCCGCACACATGTACACACAGAACCATTTCATTAAATGATATGATATTAATAATCATTGTTGCTGTGTTTAAGCTACTGTGATTTGCATTTCTGTCACTTGAGATCAGGCTTTATTCATACAACCCCTTACGAGCCCAAAGCAGAGTCTTCCTCCCAACTGTGTATAGTGCTGACCTTGAAAAGCACGTCACACCTAGACTTGTGTGTTAAATTCACTCCACGGGCTTTCATATAAGTGCAAACACACCAATGGTAGCTTTTCCCAATTACTTATGTCTATTATGGGATTATTTAGCATCACTAACTAAATTACCCAATATAAAATTATTTAATTTATCTAGACCAGACTTTCCTGTTAATATACATACACACACTCACATAATCCTCTTGTGTAAGGGTAAAAGGCCGCAATACTCTTAATTCTCTAGGTGGGTACATATCTAATTAGTGTCCCCATACGTGTGTGTATTCGGTAGCTTTGCTGGAGTGACAAACAACTCCAACATCGCAGTGTCGTACAACACAAAGGCTTATTTCTTGCTTACATTACATGAAGGTTTTGGTCCAGTAGAGTTCTTCTCCAGTGGTGGCTCTGTTCTGTCTTCTCAGTTAGACCTCCAGACTGTAGGAGCAACTTCTATCTGGAATGTGACATTCTGAGAGCAGAAAGCAGAGGCAAGAGACTAAACTGAACCAGGCAATCATATTTAACAGCTTCTGCTCCAACCTGGCACACATCACGTTCACTCAGATTACACTGGACAAGTCTACCAAAGGGACAGGAAAGTAGATGCCACTTACACTGTGGCATAGCGAGTTACACGACAAAGACAAGGACATATAAACTCCTTACAAAGATGGGAGTGAATTGCTTTGAACAATAATACAACCTGACACAATAGATATAATCTGATGCAATAGATTTGTGTCAGATAATATTACTTCCTTTACCTGGCTGCTCCCTAGGTACCGCTATGGCTTGAATCCAGAACCAGGATTTCATTGGAATTCTAGTGTCTCTAATGAGAAAATTCACACACAGAGAAAAACCATGCATGCCTGCAGTGGGAACTCGTGCCCTGGAGCTATGAAAACTTAGGGCTCTTGCATTCTGCAGGGGAAGAAGTTCCCCTTCTATGATGGGCACCCCCATGGTCATTGCTTCACATAGTCTTACTCAGAAAGCTATATGAAAACAAGCAAACCCTAATGTATTGGTCTTAATTGCAATTAGCAAATATTTTGACTCTGCTATCCTACTCCTCTGACGCTAGATTTTTTATTTTTTACAAATATGTAAAATGTGAACTCCTCAAATATTGATGCTATTAAGATGTTGTGGTTCATACTGGTGAGATTTACATTCAATAAATGTATCCATACACTCATATATGCTAAGGCATTCTAGTCAATACAATTTTCTCCATTTTGTTATATTTCCAGTGATGTTTTAGGAATCCTTAAGTGGGCACTCTCTAGTAAGAGCAAATGTTTATCATCCTCCCCAAAGCTTAGAGACTTAAAACAACAATAATTATTTATGATCTTATAATTGATATGATCAGATATTTAAGAGCATCCTCAACTCTGTGGTTCTGAAGTTGTAGACGAATGCTGGCTAGGGCTAGTGTCATGAAGTCTTCCTCACTCATGTGTATGGAACTGCAGCTGGGAAGACTTGGGTATCTGGGAACAGCAGGGGCTCCTCAGGTATCTTTCTGTAAACTTATTTGGTGTCCTTTGTGATCCTACCATGGCCTCTTCAGAACTACTCATGTTACCAGAGTTAGGTCCTTGTCTCCTCACAGAAAATTTTCAGAGACAATACATGGATGTCAAGAAAGCAAAGTAAGGATTTATTTAGTGATAGTGTGCTCTCGAGGAGAGAGTGAACAGATTCAGGCGAGTAGCTGCACTGAGTTTCCTTGGCAAGCTGGTTATATGGGGCGTAAAAATGAATAGGCAGATGTTCATTGGAGAAGGAGGGGTTTGGGGTCATACTTCCTGATTTTTATCCCAGCGCCACCTTTCCAAGCGGAGGATGGACTGTTGTTCTTATTTAGTCTTGATGGGAAATGTCATGATGTCAGTTCATGATGGGTACTTCTTATCTGCAAGGCTAATCTTATTTTAATGAGGGCATAATGAGCCAACGTTACATCAGATGCTTGAGATTCCTGCCTTATCTCACCTTTCTCTGTCTACCTCCAAGAAATTTATCAAACCAAAATGTATGGTTTCTTATCAGTCTGGAGGTTCCTGCTTTTCTCTGTCTGCCCAAGGACCCCCATTGCTCACAAGGTATATGGTTTCCTGCCATTTGGCCCATGCCTCACTTTCTCTGCTCATATCTAGCTCTCTGCCAGCTCTAACACTTACATGGCCAATTAGATCTCCAAAGGTACAAGTGTATATATATATATACACACACACATATATATATAGAGAGAGAGAGAGAGAGAAAGAGAGAGAGAAAGAGAGAGAGAGAGAGAGAAAGAGAGGAGAGAGGAGAGAGAAGGGCTCCAGGTGAAACTGTATTACATTTTATAACCTAGCCTCAGAAGTCAGGCAACTATCAATTTTGCCATGTTCTCATAGTCGAAGCAGTTACAAAGACATGTTCAGCTTTGAGCAGATGGACCAGAGACTTCATCTCTCAACAGAGGATTGTCAGCATCGCTTTGTAAGAAGAGTGTGTGGTATGAGATTAATATCGGTATGGTCATCATTGGAAAATCCAATTTGCCAAAAATACCCTGTCGTCCTTGCCCCTTAATCTAGTGCTGATGAGACACATTGGATTTGGATCAAAAAATGTTACAGCTAAAAGGAACAGACCATAAAATTTTCTTATGCAACTTTTTCCAATTGCCAATTCAGGAATTTAAGTGATTGCCCAAGGTAAGACAGATAATTAGATATAAATATACCAAAATTAGACTAGGAGTCCCTATTCTGACCCTTTTCAGTGAATCACAGCAGCATGATTTATTTTATTAGTCTCCAATTTTTCAGGTCATGGCCATGGTGTAGTTACAATGATAAAAACTGAATCTCAAGTTCTATTGACCTACAAATCAACTGTTATTTGGTCTTGGATATTTATTTGTTTAGATTTGTTAGCTGATAGTGATACATACTTAAATTACCGGTCAAAAAGAGAACTAATTTCACACCTATACAAAATTAGCCTCAAATGCACTATAGATTTAAATGTAAATGTAAAACTGTAAAACTTTAAGTAGAGGAAAAACACAGAATATAATACCAGATTACTAAAGAACATAAAATGATACTTGATATGATTTTTCGTATATTCAGAATTCATATCTGTATGAAATAAGCAGTATTTACTGGTGTTATAAGGACTTCAAACTCAGTCCCTTAGCAGCAGATTTCAAACTCCTTAACAGTACAGGGCAATTGCAGTCATCTACTTCATAATCTATTTTATAGTAGGTACGTAGTGGTAGTTTGTGTTTTTGAATAAAGTGATTTATTTCATCTAAGTTGTCATGTTTATATGTGAAGAATTATTCATAATATTTCCATATTACATTTTAGTATACCTACAGAGTTTGTGGTGATATCCCTTACTTCGTTTCAAATATTTGCAATTCTTTTCTTTTCTTTCTTTCTTTTTTTCCCCTCCCTCAGATTTGCTAGCTGTTTGGCAATTTTTTTAATCTTTTTGAAGAATAAGCTCTTGGTTTCATTGATTTTTCTCTATTGTGTTTCTGTTTCCAAGTTCAAAATTTTTGCTCTTACTATTTCTTTTCTTCTGTTTGCTTTCGGCTTATTTTGTTCTTCTTTTTATAGGTTGAAGTGGAAGCTTGGATTATTGATTTGAGGAATTTCCTAATGTGTGAATTTAGAGGTATAAATTTCCTCCTCAGCACAGCTTTATCTGTGTCTCACAAATTTTGATAATTGTATTTCTATTTTCATTCTGTTAAATGAACATTTTAAAATTTCTCCTGAAACTATTCTATTGGCCCATGGATTATTTAAAATATGCTGCCTAGTTTCTAAATGTTTGGAAATCTTTCTGTAAATTCTCTTATTAACCTCTAGTTTGATCCATTGTGGTCAGAAAACACAATTAGTAAAATTTCAATTAGTTTACATTTTTGAGGCATATTCTATGGCTTTCTACCTTATGATATGATTCATAGGTATTTGAAAATGATGTGGGTTCTGCTGTTGTTGAGTGTTCTAAAAATATTGAGTAGATATTGTTGGTTAAATGGTGCTGTTGAGTTCTTCTATATCCTTGCTTATTTGCTGTCTAGTTTTTCAATAATTCACTGAGAGAGGGGTGTTGAGGTCTCCAAGTATAATGGGAGTGTATATTTTTTGTTTCAGTTTTATCAGTTTCTGCCTCACACATTTTGCAGATCTGTTGTTTGATGTATACACATTTAGACATTCTGTGTCCATTTGTGTGTTTACTTTTTTATCATTGTATGTTACTCTTTCTTTTTTGTAAATTTTTTTTGCTCTAAAATCTACTTTATCTGACATTGATATATCTATTTGTGCTTTCCTTAGATTAATGTTTGATATATATATATATATATATCTTTCATGTTTTATAAACCACTCTGCCAAACTCTGCCTTTTCATTGATGTATTTATGCCCTTTACACTTACTATAATTATTAATACTTTAGGACTAAGCCTACCATTTCATTTTCATTTTGATTTTTCTCTCCGGTGTTTGTTTTTGTTTTCTTTTTCCTGCCTTCCAATGGGTTACTTAAATTTTTCTAAGAATCCATTTTGATTTATCTATTTGTGTAGTTTTTTTAGTGGTTACTCTAGGTATTGCATTATTCATATGTATGTAGGTGAGATATATACAGATATATATATACATGTATCATCTCATATCACATACAAGGGTATATTTATGTATATATTTATATGTACAAACTAAATCTATTATAAACTTAAAACTTCCCTCTCTTTAAGTTCCTTTGTACTCCTCTATTTATAATATAGTTGTCTTAGATATTTCTTCAGCGTACATTTAGAACCATTATCACACAATGCTAAAATTTTTGCTTCAATCATCAAAAAAATATTGGAAAACTCAAGAGTAGGAGGAAAACCTATTGTATTTTTTTCATATTTTCTAAATTTTGTTCTTTCCTCCTCTCCAGACTTTTAGGGTTTCTTAGTTTCCTTTCTGTTTAGAGAACTTTCTTTAGCTGTTCTTATAGAATAGCTCTGAAAGCGAGAGATTATCTTAGTTTCTCTTCACCTAAGAATATCTTGATTTCCCTTTCATTCCTGAAGGACATTTTTACTGAGTATAGCTTTCTAGGTTGACAGCTCTTTTCTTTCACCAGTTGAAAAAAATATTGTGCCACTCTTTTCTGGTCTCCATCACTTTTGATGAGAAATCTGTTCTCATCCTACTTGTTTTTCCTCTACAGGTAATGGGTCATTTTTCTCTGACCACTTTCAAGATTTTTTCTTTGTCTTTAGTTTTTAAAAGTTTAATTGTAATGTTTGTTTGCATGGATTCCTCTGAGTTTATCCTGTTTGCAGTTTACACGGCTTTCTGAATCTGGAGATTTATGTCTTCTGACAAGTTTGGAAAATTGTTGGCCATTATTTCCATGTGTAACTTTTCCATCATTGTCTTCTT